TCAGATTATCTTTGAAAATAGGGAAAACCACGAAAGCAAACCAATCAATGTTAGCTGGTATTCGATCGCATGTCGAATTACGAGGTTTCAACGACTTTATACCTCGCTCACTGGTCAGCCTGAACTGACCAATAAATTGTTTTTGTAAATAATTAACAGACTGCCCTCTGCTACCATGGATTACCTGTATGAAAGGATGAAATACTGATACCAAGCTTTATTGAAATCAGCAAAGCTTATAACAGGAAGCTTTTGTTTTATTTGATATTTGTTTTACCTTAAATCATTATTCAGTTTTATTAAATTGCATACGGAGCTGGCTTTCAATTAAAGAGTAGCAAATAAATAAATGAAAAGTTTTAGTTTCGAATTTCTGTTTAAAAACAAGCAATAAAATAGTATCAAATAACTAGTAGAAAGTAATTGTTATAAAGGAAGAAAAATATTAAGCATTAAATCAAATTCGCCGATTTAATTTTGATTTTCCATTGCAAGGTCATTTCATTGTTATTTATTCTTTATCTTATAAATGTATTTCATAGTAGATCGCTAAGTTAAATGAAAGCTAATTTTCTTTGAAACATTCTCCATAAAGGTATTCTTCCTCATTAAATATACAATTTGCTTTCTCTACGTTTTCTACACTAAAGTATCTTGTTTTCAAAAATCGGAACAAGCATAATTTGTCTTAAGTTTTGAGTGTATCTTTTAAAACTTAAAAAACAATCAGTCCTTCCTTAATTACTTTCTTGAAAAAAAATGACATAAATGAATTTTATAAGTTAGCGATTTTAAGTATGTCGCATTCTAATCTATTCTTTTTTTTTTATTATTATTATTATTATTATTATTATTATTATTATTATTATTATTATTATTATTATTTAACCGAGCTTTATTTTCCATTAAATATTTAGCTGTAATATCCATAATTCGACTTTATAGTCTCTTTATAGTCTGGTCTCTGAGAAGCAAGAAATATAATAACACAAATGTTTATTTAAAATTAAAATGCAGAAGTTGTAGCAAAAACTGCAAAATTTATTGAAAACAAAATTTTAAAGCAGAAATCGTTTTGGGGCAAAACAACCGAGGTTGCAATCCTATTTCCAATATCACAATTACAAACTGGTTGCAATTTAGGAGAAAATACAAGAAATCTTTAATTCAGCTAAATCGGAGTTTTCATTAGTTGACAATCAACATTCAGTATAGATAGTGAATGTTTGTTTGCTATTGCTCATTATAAATTTAAAAACTTGTGGTAAATACCGAAGCATTTACACTAATTATACAAGCTTATTCAAAAGTTTGTAAAATGTTTAAAATTTTCAATAAATGAGCTGCATAACTCATACCATACATAAATGTAGATAAATTTATTTTTTAAGTATTTTATAAATGCTGAATGCATCTTTAACCATCTTTCATGGTATATCCACCTTTTATGATATTCATCTTTGACAAAATATCTATCTTGGATAATATGTATATATCTGCATGTTAAAGGAAAGATTTACCTGGATATTTCGGAACATTTTAATGAAAATAGGAATAATTATCTTTTCCAATGAGATCATTATTGAAACTAGGTACGAGTATACCTCAATCAAAATTTTCCGCAAAATTTAAAATCATTTTCAACAGTATTTGATAAAATTTTTCGTAAAATTAGAAACCATTTTCAACATTATTTGAATCAAAATTTTCCACCACAGTGGCTATGACAAGCAGGATAAAGAGATAATGTATTAAAGCGTTGATTACGCCAGTCCCTTCATATATAAACCTATATGATTTTTTCTAGTGGAGATTGTGATATTGCCATTGTGCCTCTGCTCCCCTTCACAAACATACAACTAATGTTGTGGCTGCGGTCTTTTTAAGTCTCTCTAGCAGTTGATCCTACTCCTACAACTTCGCTATTCTAAGGTACTGGAAGTTTCTGAGAAGGAAGGGCAAGTTAGGCCTTATATAGAGTAGGTTTGAAACGCTCTTAGGAAGGGCAAATACCCTCCCTATGAGCGTTGCAAACCTACTCTACAGGGTTCAGGTCTAGATATTTGCTTGGCTAATCCATCCGTTTAATAGCCATGGTTTCCAGAAAAATCATCTACCAAATTACCCTATATATACGAGCGCTGTCGTCCATATGAATGAACTACTAATTGTATTCATAGAAAAGACGAACAATAGAACTTTAAAGTATATTCGTCACATCAAACAGATGTCACAGAGCATGTCAAAGACATGAAGAGCTTTACACTCGCACAGAAGTGGAATTCAAAGAAGGAGATCAAGTCTAATTGTGGAACCCCAAACGTAATCGAGAGACCCCAAGCGGCAGACATTCTTGGAAAGCGCCTTTCCGTGCAATCAAGATACTGAATACCGTAATGGCGTGTATCCATAAAACTCCTTTTTATAAACTCACTGCCATTGACTTTCACCTTAAGAAGAATTAATTTTTAATATATTTTTCCCTCCCTTATCTCGTGCCTTCGTATTGTAATATTGTAATTGAAAGCATGTCCAGCTGGCATCGCCAAGTCAGAAGTTTGAATCCCGGTGATAGCTCATTTTTCATGTTTTCTGTTTCAAATCTGACTGTACAAATCTCCTTTTACAGCCTACTGTCCTTGATATTGAGAACTACACTGTTCGGAACTTGCTGTCCTTAAGGAAAGAGTTCTATTGTAAATTTTTAAATTATTTTATCGCGTTGTAACATTTAACATTATTTTACTTATTTATTTGAGTAATGTTTGCATTTAGGATAATAGTTTTAGAGTTTAAATAATCAAATTTGCGATTTCCATTTTCTACATAAGTGTTTGTTTCTTTTTTAGAAATGTAGATAGTGTATATTGTGATTCTAAATCCAGAAACGCTAAAATTGCTTAAAATTTTGGAAAGACGCATTTTCAAAGCTCTAGAAAAGAGTTTCTCCAAATCTTCCGAAAAATCGTGCAAACCAAATACTGCTCCGATAGCTAGGATGAATCAATTGTTATTCAGTTCTCATTCATTTCTAAGTTATTCAGAGAAATTGCTGATCAAAACCTTAGCAGAATTAAACTTTAGAATTTATACTGCGAGTGATTTCGGTAATTTACTAATATATTTCGGGTGCTAAAGAGGATATGCCCGTTCTCCTCTATTTACAACTATTTATTTTGCTATGTATCATCATTAATTATTAATAATTTCGTTTCTACCGTCTCATATGAAGTAATTATTTAAAGAAGCATCCACAAAGCCGTACCTCGGAGCAATATCTTACTCTTACAGAGAGGTTTTTTTTTTTTTTTTTTAATTTTTTAATTTTTAGAAAGATTTCGATCAAGGATTTTAAAAAAAAAGCAAGTCGCTTTTGAATAAAATTTTCTGACAACAGCTTATTATTTGAAATGAAAAATATAGTCTGCTACTTTTAAATTTATTCTTCTTTCAAAATGTCTCAGGTAAACAAGCTGTGGATTAGAAAATACATTTATGAGCTTTCCGAAAAGAAATATTTCTGTTCCATAATTAAATATTATCAAAATGCTTGGTATTAAAATTTCGAAGTGCAAAATATTAATCCGAAAGGGGAAAACTGTCAGTTACCTCTTCTTCATGGAATACTTCAAACGAATACCAGAAAAGAGCATGTATGGTTTCTAGTATTTCTAAAATTAAATCGTTGGTAACAAGAGAAAATCCTCCAACGCAAAAATCAATATCAAATCCTTTAAATGCATCTGTAGTAACGATTAATAAGATAATAATCCATGATTTACAAATTTAAAAACCTAACAACATAATGTTCAACAGCTTTTGCCGAGGTATGTAACTGAACGCAGAACTATTTGTAGAACTCTGTATGAAAATTGTTAATCAGGATATAAATGTAAATACATTATGCCCTACAGTAAAGCAAGAGTTTACTTAAATCACTGCTACAAAAAGGGGCTGTTTATTCGAGAACGAAGGCATCTTTGACAAATATCAGAATTGGAAAAATCAGAATCAGAGATTACAGAATCGGAAAAAAGTGTACAAACCCGGTTCCAAATGCAAATAAAGTTTCAGAATCCATTTATGGTTGTCATTGGATTCTCTTACTGTTGGAAATTAAAAATAAGAAGAGGGTAGAAGTGTTAAAATCAGCTCAACATGTTATCTAGAGAAAGTTTTACAGCTGATATTTAAAGAAATTACATTTTCTTACCCTAATGTTTTTCAAAGAATGAAATTTCACGAAGGCAAAGAAACAAGTCACACTTTGAAATATACAACTGCATTCCATGAAAAAATGAACACTGATACATGTATTGCACATTACATTTTCAGCGTATTCCTGCGAAGTCTTTTAACGCTTTAGCTATGACGTATTGTACCTATGCTGTCTTGAAAAAAGTTGTTTCTAAGCGCAAAGCAACTACAACTTATGAACTCTGGAAAGTGGTAAATGAGGAATATAAATTAAAACCCTTGAAAATTGTAGAAAAAGACATTCTATCATCAAATCACGATGCATACTTATAATCCGGGAAAGAAGCTATCAAATCAAACATTTTTAAAATAATATTTGCATTTTAAGTGATAATTAAACAACCCGAATTCGTTCTAAAAATGTGTAAACACATTCTGCAGAATATCTTGAATCCTCTTAATAGTATTATGCATCCTTTATATAGTGGGGGGAAATAAATTGAAAATGGAATTAAACATTTTATGTTTTTGCAACTTAGAGAATAATAGTATAATGTAACTCCGAATCGTAGTGTACGTTCCGCAAGATCGAATAGTAGAATAAAATGGACTCAGATACTTCAAAACTTTTCATAAGGACTCAATTAAGCTATCCAGATTAAATGTGTGCATAATTTTTCATTCATAGGTAATCTGTAAATAGCTATTGTATTTCAGGAAGGCATGTGACATTTATCTAAATATTATCACCAAACTTTTGTCTTATCGACACAAAACGTATTAGCGTAATATTACATCTTCAGTCCCCAAAGTTGGAAACGATGTTTTCTTCTGCTAAGAGAGCTTTTAAAATGATACAGTCCTGGAAGTGTTTCTTTTTACTCGTGATTTTCTTTCTATCTACAGCAGAAGGTAAGAAGAATTTTTTTTTTCAAAAAAAAAAAAAAAAAGAGCAATTAAAAAACAAACAAAAAATTAAAATGATGATTCTTGACTTAGAAAGCTTTTGCTAACATTTTCTCACATGAAGTTGTTGCTTGTCATTAAAATGTATCTTACGTTACGAAAGGTGGCACCTATGTAATACTTCTGCATATATTTTCAAAAAGTTTCTTTCCGAAAAGAAAATCCAGCTAATTTTGGTCTGTAGGCAAATATTATACTCACATGGATATCAGAGCTAAACAGACTGTCTTAATTTATTTGTGGTTAATGAAAAGAGAGATTCCCTTTCATATTAATGCTTCTAACAGGTATTGATTAATTACTGAAACAGATTTTTATCCCCTTAAGAGCCTTATATGATCTTTTTTCAGAAAACTGATGTGAGAAACAGTTAGAAACGCTACGGATATTTGATAAAACCATCAGCCATTGAATACTTTTATTCTTTAATTACGCCATTAATAACTTTGATTTTGGCTTGAGATTTCTATTATTTTTAGTTATTTTTCATGCAGTTTGAAATTTTTCTTATGATTACTGTTGCATGATATTAAATTTCTTCCATACGTATGGTAGCATATTTTGTAAATATGAAAATAATGGTTTTGACAAATTTCATTTGTGCACATGTGAAAGTAATGATTCGAATCAAGATTGTTTTGTCGTGCACGAATTACGCTGTCTATTATTTATTCATTTTTAGGTATTTAATTTGTTGATTGGTTTTCCAGCGGAATTTGGGCTGTGGTTCATATAGTTGATCTTTCTCATATTTAAACAGTTTTCATTAATTTTTCTTTTCTTATTCTTCAGAATGAATTCTCAATTTCTTCTTTAAAGAATCTTCAGTTTGCAAAATAATTAAGGGATAGATGCAATAGAGTTGACTTAGATTTGGTTTGTCTTTTAAAATTTGAATCCTGAATTAAATATTCGAGTTGAAAGTTTTGCTATTTATCTGTCTGTTTATTTATATTTTAATTTGCTGGTTTCTTGAAGCAACTTTAGACTATATCATAATCCAAGCGGTCTATCTTTTTAAAAGTTAGTCAATTTCATTACTTTTGTTTTTCTTATTTTTTGCTGCTGCAACTGGTCACTTACAAGCCTTCAGTTTATATCAGAAAAGTTTTAAATGTCCGAGTTGAACTTTTTTCTGTTTATTTATTTATTTATTTATTTATTTATTTATAGCGTCTAGTATGCTTAGGAAGCACACACTAACGATCTCTAAAAAGACAGTAGAAGAATTATTTTCAAGTCTTATGCTACAAACAAAAGTCAGAGGAAAAATGTATAAGACCCTTTCATTCAAACACAAAGACTTCGCTACTTGGGCTCACATAATCCAACACTTCTGGCTTTATTTAAGTAAGTAATATTGAACTAAAATCAAATGTAGTGAAACTAGCCTAACGCCTCACAGGATAAAGTAACGTTCAGGAAGGCTGTGCTTGGTGGAAAACCGGCGAAACAAGCCTAATGGTTAGAAGCACTCAACGCCTCAGAATGCCATGAAGCTTCAGCCGCGCTATGAAGTCATGTTAACAATATACCCTCAAGTAGGCAGAAAACGCTCTAAATATAACTTGCGAAACCTTCGCTTAAATATCACTTCTTTACGCTTTCTATCCCATTTACATTCTGGCATGAAATGAGTGAGGAAAAAGAGAGCGATAGAAAAGTTACTTAACTCAAAATTAAACTATTAGTCAAAAATAAATTGATAAATTCTCACAAATGTTCCTTTCTTTTTTTTAAAGAATTTAGGCTATGTTAAACTAATTTTCTTAATTAGTTTAAATGACTTAACTTCAACAGAAACAAGAAAATATTCAGAAGTTATTCTCTCTTTAGGCTAATCAAAAGTATATATTACAGTCTAGAATAATTTTTATATTATATTTCTATATATTAACACTCGAGAATATTTTTCAGCTAATAATAACGACTATCATTAGATCGTGTACTCATAATATTGATTACTTAAGTATTGATAATATTGCTTAATCATTGGATCAAACAATATTATCAATACTTAGATGCAGAGATTATTGACGTTTCGTAGCAAGAAACATGAAAAATCAGAAGTGCCTTTGCCGAAATTCGAATCACGAATATTCCATTTACTAAATAAGTATTGTAACCATTTACAGAGCAGAAATACTCACAGAAGAACGCAATAATTTCTTATGCAAGTAAAGTAGAACAGCACCAGATTTATGAATGTTTCGTTTGCTAACTTAAAAGGTTTTACATCAGATTGTTTAAATCGAACTCTTTCTATTAAAAATTTATTTGAATATTGTATTTTTATATGCAACGTATGAAAATTTGAAACTGCTGTTTGTAAGCAATTTAAATTTTTTTAGACTTATCTTACATTTTGCACAGTAATAAAAATTTATTTTTATCAAATCAGAACACTGGAATATTTCACAGAAATATTCGTACAATTGCTCACAGGATCGCATAGTATAATCAGTAGTTACACTTCAAACTACTAAGAATGTTAAACGCAACACAATGCAAAGGGCATCATCTAAAGAGAAAGCTAACTCGGATTTATCTCAATTAAGACCTGTAATATTTATAATTTTGTATGTGTTTTTTCAGGTCTGGATACGGAATGCGTCTCGGGAAATATTCTAGAGTTGGATCTGATCAAAAATCCAGTGGGCAACTTGTATTCTCCAGGCTATAAACAATCGAAATCATACCCAAATGAAGTAGAATGTGGCTTTAATCTAACAAGCAGTGAAGGCACGGTATGTAGTAATTGCACAATGCATGATTCTTTCCAAATATTATTCTTATAAATATTAATTATAATCACTATGTATAGACAGTAGGTTAATTGGAGAAGCCGTAGAGATGAAAAATGAGCAAGCGCCTTCGCCGGGAATCGAACCACGGACCTCTTGAATACTGGTCGAGCGTGCAGAACCACTACACCCCGAAGACACGCTAGAAAGGCGGGAGAAATACCTTATAATTATGTATGATTAAATAAGTAGTAATATTCCTGTGGGCGTTTAAAATTAGAATGCAGTCGAATTATATCCTGAAGTGCAAAATTAAAAGGGCAGTTTGCAAAATTCAACATTACCAGATGACACAAGAAAAGATAATTTCTATACTTTTAAATAAATTTTAATGTAAAGATTCAGATTGCGCTTTTTACAGGCAACAGTTTCATAATACGAACTTTTAAAGTAAATGCACGATTGGGAGGATATGCAAAAAGTCTTGTTATTTCCATTAACTTGTCTAAAAACAGTGACTTTGATACTCAGTCACCATGAAACTCATATGTAAAATCTCAGCGTTTTATCATAGAATGAATTTCCGGCAGAAGTGAGAATCAAATCCTACAGGATTAATACCCAGACAAAGGATCTCATGCGAGCACTTGGTAAGGAAGCGTTGTGCTGCATTTCGTCATCCTAAGACAAAACTCAAAAAAGTTGACTAGACTGAGGCCAACAACAATGCTGACTAATCCAATCAAATGCTGTGCTCGTTTTCAGTTCGTTTTCAATGTATCCCACCCACCAGGTGAGCTGAGTGAGGTCATACATTATCACTCAATAGGAAAAACTGTGACCCTACAGCCCCTTAAATTACTTTGGACATAAACTCATTAAAATTACCTTGGACTAGGAAATAAATGCAAGAACTCTTTTATGCATTTTTGTGCGATTACAGATCCTTTGTTTCAATAAGCCCACCAGAGCGGTAAATTCGCTAAACACTGGTAATTCGGTCCGAAGTTCGAATTTCGCGAACGGGATAGCTGCATAGACGTTTTAGGGGTTTATCCCATGTGTAACGTGTATATGAGTTAGTTTCTCTTAGAAAGTCCTCCACAAAGGCATCCCTTCCTTTATACAGATAGCCCCGATTCGTTGCTGTAATCATACAAGCCAAACCTTTCTTTCAATACTCTAATTCGGTATGACCGCTTATCATTTCTTCTAACACAAGAATACATACTTATGAAAACTACTTTTCACAGTGGTACCATTAGATGGAATTTGTTTGAATTTTATTTGTTATATAGTTATATTAAGAATCCGTATTTAAACTGAACTGTGAAGAAAACATATGGCCAGCCATTTCGGCTGCATTGGCATGTAGGCGACACCCTGTACTTACAATTATTTATTACTAGCAGCTTCGCTGCCAGCCTTCGTCTGGCTTTTAAATGTACCGAAAAATGGCTGAAGGGAACACAAAACGTTACATTTAAAAACTGCGTAGGATTTTACTCTGCAGAACAACTTCATAAAAAAATTTATTACGTATAACTTACAATTAACAAAATTAAACAAAATTACAATGAAATAAGCAACATCCCTTAATACAAATATTAATTATCCTAATAAATAAACTAACCAACTTCCCTTTGCAGAATCTTAAGAACTCAAATGGTATAAAGGAAGTTAAGAACTTTGTTTCCTAAAAAAATAACTCAAAACTTTTCAATATCTTAAAAACAGTGAAATGAGCAATAAATATCATAAAAGAATACAAAAAAACAAAAAATTCTGAAAAGCAAAGTATAATTAATGATATTTTATCTTATATTTTCAAGAGGAAAAAATTACAATGAAATAAGCTATATCCAATACAAATATTAATTATCCTAATAAAAAAATGAACCAACTTTCCGTTGAAGAAAAAAAATCATGCAAAACTTTTCGATACCTAACAAACAGTGAAATAAGCAAAAATTAACATGAAAGCAACTCAAAAAACATAAAATTCCGCGGAGAATTTTACTCTGCAGAACAACTTTATCAAAAAAATGTATTATATATATATATATAATCTGATGTGTACACCACATACGGAATATTAAATTATACGCATTTTTTCTTGCATTTCGTTTAAACTTATGAGATCGAATTAAACCTACTTCGCCGACAGTGCATAAACCACAATAGAATAAATGCATTCTTTAAAATTCGCTTTGTTTACCATAGCGACATTCTGGCGCTAGGTTTACTTAACAGTATTATATTTCGTTCATATTAGAATGCATAAAATTTATATCATTTAAAGAATTATCTAATCGTTGCCACATGTTCTATTCAAATACTATAATAAAGCTAGAACTATGTATAAAAGAAATTAAGCAAACAAAACAAAAAAGAAACAGTTTTTCACAGACGATTGAGTATTTCTCATTCAATTAATTCAGTTTTCACTTCGCGAGAAGGCAAAAATACGTAAAAACTCAAAATATCTGTATTAAAAATTACGAAGTAAATCTTAAACGCTTATTTCCTCGAAAAAATTCCAGAAAGGATTAAGCATGATTTAAGTAATAACTGAAGGCGTTATCTTTGTTGTTGCGGAGCTAAGTTTCTCTAGATTGGCAACAAATCCGCTACTCAGCTATTTCAAATGTAAACAAGAGCAATGGCGGCCATCAAATTAGGCTTAGCGGCACTTAAACAATTTTAAAATTGTTGATAATTCTAAAAATATTGCATACAGATTTACTAAAGGCATAAAACCCTTAACCGGAAGATAAAAACCACATAATTCAATCATTTTTAAAGCAAAAAATGTACAATTTACAAACATATAAGTGTAAAAAAACTGAGATCACTGAGCCGGGTAACAAGGTGGATATATTTATAAATATATTTATATACGTTTGGCGCGGCCGATTGAAACCAAAATACGAGGTGCACATCTACATGTTATAGTAGTCTTGTATACAAAATTTCAACGTTCTGAGGCTACTCGTTTTTGAGTTATGCAAGATACGTACGTACATACTTTCGTACAGATGCCACGAAACATTCTCTTCAGAATTCATTTTAAAGCAGTTTTTTAGTTTTTTTTTTTTTTTTGGAGGAAAAGAGTTTTTTATTTAGTCCTTACGTACATATATCATGCAAAAACATCGTTAAATTGCATTCGAAAGCGGTCAAAGTGGATATTTTCGTTGAAATATGCTGCCTGAAGCTTTTCGCGATTACAATACTTCCTTTTTACTTCGTACAAGGAAGTAAAAATGACAATGAAATATGTCAATCTCTTAAAAACAGTGACATAAGAAATACGATGAAAAATTGTTGCCAAACCCATATTTCTAAAAGAAGGAAATTATTCAAAATAGTGCGATTTCATCCAAAATCTATCAACAACAATAAGACAGGAAAATTGTTGCCAAAATCACATTTTTAAAGATGTGAGATGTGAGAAGTGTACTCGGAAGCTTCATTTAAAAAATTCTTTAAAAATACAAAATATGATCATTTTTCCAAAATTCTTTTTGTAAAAGCAGTCGCAAGGATGAAAGTTTAACGTGTCCAAAAATCAAAGTAAAATAAACTGTACATTTTTAAATATAAAAGTTTTTAGAAAAAATCCCGTTGAAAAGGTGCTAAGCTCCCTTTGTTAAATAAATTCGTATTTAATCGATTTATTGAAACACGAAATTTATTTTAAGTTCGTAAAATAGCTAAGTGCCTACGTTTCATGACGATATGAAATGGAGTGTGTAGAGTAAAATCTCGCCTTTCTATAGCCCATTTTGCCTCAAAATGACGCGATTTCGTCACAAAACATAAAATAAAAAAATTCGAATTCGAATTTCGAAAAACTCGCTTCGAGGTGCACTGACTCTTGTCTAGATGCACCTATGTACCAAATTTCGTAGCCTGGGGGTCTATTAGCTTACGCGCAGCGCGAACGAAAGACACACACACACAGACTCTTTCTTTTATTATATGTAGAAATTAGTATCGTACCAGTAAAAATCACCACTAGTATATTGCCATATTTAATGTTACTTCAAATAACAACCTATCTACATTTAACAAATGTAGTAACAGAAAACTATCAACAACATATTTAAACAAATGTTAAAATTTCATATCCTTGCAGTTTTGTCTATTCTATCAAAGTATATAAATGAGATGTAATTTTAAAACAGGGTTAAGAATCTAAGTGAGAAGTGCCAACCTTAAACAGACTCCTCCGTTTGAGTCTAACTTGACAAATATTTCTACTTATCAGTAAATTTCCACTTTGCTTTGAATGTTAACTAAGAGTTCGTAAAATTAATCGAGCCTGTTAGTAAGTTTAACTTAAGCGTGGGATTGCAAATAACTGAATTCCGTGTTGTCTGCTGTTCCCGCAAGAGGTGGAACTCAATTCGCATTCATTAATTTAGTTCTATACATTAAGTGGAAGACACAATATTTATAGTTGATTTTAGTTCTGTGTTCATTTAGTGTTTTGATATTTCTAGTTAAAGCCAGGACGGAATTTCGTCTTGCAGATTAGAAGGCTAGACTAGTAATTATAATTAAACCCCAAAGTTAGTTCATTCTTATGCATATTGCTTTTATATTCAAGGTCTTAGTTTTTAAAATTTGACATATTTGTTTTAATTAATAGAAACTTTAAAAACTTACACTGGAAGCAATAAAATGTATTCTCTTAAAACAAATTTTTACCCTCTAGCGAATTTGTCTCAGCATCAAAATTTAATGTTAAAAAAAGTTATCATTTAATGATAAAAATATAAATTAAGATATAAACAAATAAATTAAAAAAATCTTCTTTGATATTGCTCTAATTGGATATTGCAAATAATTTCATAAAAAATGTCAAAATTAATATAATACTAAATTGTTTTTTTTAAGAAAAATAATCTCGCTGATATATGTTTCGAGTCTCTTTTCTTTATTATGGTCATCATCAAGTATAAGTTGATTCTTTTAATAAATAAGGTTTAAGCCATGTCTGACAGAGCACAGACAAACGAAAAGTAAACATAAACAGTTGCAAATAGAAAATTCCGTACTTAATTTTATTTTATCAATTTATTTACTTTTTGTATAGTGTATACAGACTATTATTATTTAAGAAATCAAGCCATGGTGAGCATGATTAATTCGTTATATCCTTGCTTAAAGTACCATATATAAGAGTGAAACTTAAGTTTAACTCGACAGTGATATTCATTTCTTTCATTACAATGGATAATTTTTAATCAGTAATTCTAGACCTTATTCTTTCTTAATGGTCTTTTCATTTAACGGCCTGTAAGTTACTTCACTGTCGACAAGTTATCAATTTGACTAAAATCCTGTTTACACAGAACACAAATTAAAAGACGAAACATTTTCCCTTGAAGAGTTATTCATGAAGGTATCCCACCCCTTATATTGATATCCGACTTGTACTTCGCCTCAATCAGTTAAGCTAATCTTTTCATGAAAAAAATTTCTAAACATCCTAAACTGCTAGAACATATATATTCTAACGAACATTATTTTCATCTGAAGCATATAGTTTGAATTCTATCCACCATTCACGGAGTACGAAAATGAAGAAATATTAAAAGAATAGGAATAAAAGTCTGATGCCAAAAAAAACAGACAGCCATTTTTACACATAAAAAGTTATTTTTCATAGAGACTGAAATTTCTTCGCTAGCGTTGTTAATTTAATTTTTTCCTGCGTCTTCTCAGGAAAGGAGAAATAACTGGCAGAACACTCATTCGGTGTCGGCAATCTCCCCCTTAATTTTACTTACCGCATCAGAGAACTTTATCTCGACGAGTGGTTTCTTATCTAGAAAACGATGTCGCATGTTAAAACGATTTGTGTCTGTTCAATTTTTAAGAAGATACTGAGTAGCTTAGTTTCTTGGCAACTGAAAATGAATACGTGCATTTTTAAGTCAATTAATTCATTTAAATCTAGCTACCAGTGTAGATCAATTACTACAAATTTTCCAAAATACTACTGTTCATCTTTTGTAAACGTTATTTCAGTTTCTAAATCGTGAGAAAATATTATGACTATATTATTCCAATAATAAAACCGCATAAATCTTCAATCTTTAAGAGAATGAAGTATAGTAAGATCATAAGGAAATCACTCTGTGATTCCTACATATGAATGAATTTAGTTTTCCCTTTCAGATATCCTGCTATGCTTAATAATGAGTAAAAATCAGTTTTAGAAATTGTCATATTTCTACTAATGATTATTGTTTTACAAGATAAGGTTTTCTTTTCTAAGACTACGCAAAAAAGCAACCTTAGATTGCTTAGATTTTGAATAAAACTCTACCGATTTCTAAAATGATCCCATTGCTCTCGAAATCGTTAACTGTTGTTTTAAAATATATACCAGTCTAGAGCAGACTTTTGTCAAGTTTTAAATTTTACATTGTCATGTTTCTCTCCCACTTTTTAGTCAAGTTAGCTTTTCTAATTAGGTTAAATTGTTTGTTATAGAAAATAACTCGTGAATTCATATCTGCCACAGAAAAGCCATGCTTTCGTGAAAGGTTTTCTAAGGGAAACTAACTTGCATCCACCTTGGAAAAAAACCATAAAAGTCTTATATAGAAAAAGGAAGAAAACAATAAGAATCCTGCATGACCAGCCCATTCAGTAGCTGATAACCAAGCTCGGCGCGAATTTTTATGCTATTGTAACGTGCATACGGGATTCTTTAATTCTATTGTAACGTGCATATGGGATCTTTGATCCTATTATAACGTGCGGGATCATACGGGATTCTTTGATTCTATTGTAACGTGCATACGGGATCGTAATAGATTATATGCACGGAAAACCGATAGAGCTTGATGAAATTTACTTTCGAAAAACACTTCGCAGTTCTGAAACTTTTCACGCAAAAGTACTCGTACACCTGTTTTTAGAATGACAGAGCATAATCAGTAGTTTCCACTTGAAACTACTACGAACGGCAAAACTCGCAAGAAAAATCACAGATCACCAAATGACAGTCAATGACAATAATCAGAGATGCTCGGTAACAAAACACTCGCAGACTGAGCAAACTGCAGGTTCCAACACAACTGATATTTAAAGTGTTGCCCAAATGAGAGAGCAAGCACTTCTGGAAACATCGAGAAAAATCGCTGTTAAGGCTTCAAAAATGCATATTCCGAAAACTTCCAAAATATCATCACAAATTGCCGAGAAGTCGCCAATATGGCGGTGATTTTTGTCGAAGATCTGTTATAAGAGTTTCGACTCGTATCTCCTATTCCAGCTGAATTATATTTACAATTCAAACTTTCATGGATTCAGAATTTAAAATATCTGTAACTTAAAGTATGAAATAAATATTCATAAACACAGTAAGTGGCTACAAGTTCGATTAAATGAATATAAAATTATATTTTTCATAAAATGAATAACATAAAATGGACGAAATAAGTAAATATATTAATAAAAAATACATAGGACTATATAAAAGCATAAAACATAAGTTACAAGCGAATAAGAAGACAACAGCGATCGAGGGCTAAAGTAGCTGAGCACTAGTAATTTGACCTTGGTTCGATTCCTGCCGAACGAGATGCTGTGTGGATGTTTTCGTGATTTTCCCCGTGTGTAGTGTGGATACTAGCCAGTTCCCTTAAAGCCCTCCACGAAGGCACCGTTCCCTTAAGAAGCTAGCCCTCATGTACTTTGCCATAATCAACTAAACCAAACCAAACAAGCAAATAAGTACAAGTGTTTAGAAACATTTTACTACGGTATATTTTAATACTACAAGATAAAGCTATTGAATTCTATTATTATTCTTTCTTTTTTAGTATATTCGGCTAAAGTTCAATGTACTTAATATCACTCAAAATCCCACCTGCAGCGATGATCATATAATAGTTAATTATATGGACAGCAATGGCACTCTGGCTACAGCGGGATTCTACTGTGGAAAGCTAAACGTTCCAGATATGATTTCACCTTTTAATGCTGTACAAATAAAATTCAAAAGTGGATACTTCGGTACAAGTGTAGGATTCAACATCACATACAGAGTGGTCTCCAGCCGCAGTAAGTATTAAATAAACCCTGAATTATTTCAGGCGTTCGATAAATAAATTCTCTATTTTTGTGCACTTTTTCATTTCCTCTTATTACAGATAGTATATACAGTATATAATCAGATAAATTATAATAGAAACGATCTTTGTGGGTATTTCATTTCATGGCATTTTGCAAAAATAGAAAAATAGAAAGTTTTATAAAATCTATTTTACAAAATGTATAAACATCTGGTAGTATTACAAAATCAAAAATTTCTCTCGGTCTTATAGCAAAAGCCAATATGTTCGATTCAATTTACAAACCAATTACTCTCTTTCTGTCTCTGTATCGCATTTTGGTAATTCTCATTGTATTTAAAGCTTTTTTACTATTTTGCATTCATTTTGCAATTATTACAATTAACATTCGTGAGCTGCCCTTTAAAGGTCTTCAAATAACTGTTTCTTAATACTTTTTGTTATTAAAATTATGTGCATTAAGATTACATTAGAACATTTCTATAAATTTCATACGCTGAATATATCGTATTTCCTTGCGTAATTTTCCTCTTAGCTTTTTAGCTCTAGATTCTGAAAATTTTAAAAACGTTGGCGTAATTTTTTTCTTCTTCTACTGTATATAGTTTTACCCTCTGAAGGCCACTTTACTTGTAAATTCTATTCCCTTCATTATTTTTATTTTTGCTCAGTGTATTGAATTTGTATTTGCATTTGTAGCAGCATTTCATCCAGTTTATTTTTGCTTCATTTATTATTTGAAACGTATTTTATGCAGATTCTTCGTTAAGCTACCCGGAGGTGGCAGGTGTTCTCACACTTATGAACTTTCGAAACATGTTATTTCACCTTACTTCGATTATTTACTTTCAGCTCATTGTAGCCTTTTCTACTGCTGAAGGGGGACAATCAACGGCCGTACGATCAAGTCACTGAATATTAGTAGTTTGACCTGGGTTCGATTCCAGACGAACGGACCAGCTGCATAGATGCTTTCGTGGTTTTCTCTATGCGTAGCATGGAAACCAACCAGTATCCCCTTAGAAAGTTCTCTACGAAGGCGTCCCTTCCCCCTTCCAGGCAGGTAGCCCTTACGTCCCTTGCTATAATAAAATAAACCAAACCCAACTACCTCTGATGTGTTCGATCATTTTCGAAATTTGGATCTTTTGTTCGCGGCCCTTCTTTTTCCTTCCGATGTCTTTCTTGGAATTTTACACGTGGCTCTCTGCGCGATATTCATGGCTTTATCGATTCAATTCGATTCTTTATTTAGATTTGGGAATTCGTAGTTAGAAGTTTCTTTTGACATGTGTGTATTGCGGATAAGGGGATTAATTTTCAGAATCATGGGGAAAAAACAATCATAGCTGCATAGCAAAATTTAAATTAAAAATTAAAATATTCGTTGAAGTTAATGGTGCCAAACTAGCCAGTAGACAGTTTCTTGTTCAATCTACTTTGATTCGATACTAGGGAAAATAAAAACATGCACTGAGGAAGACAAATTCAAAGTGGTTGGCGTTTCGGGGATAGAAAACCAGAAAATTTCCAGAAATTGATGGTGAGGTGCAGAATTAAGAAACAGAGCAAAGAACAATGGCATAGCTATGTCGCGGGAAATTATGCAAATGAAAGCGAGGGATGAAACGAAAATATGTGATATTACTGCTCAGCAATTTAAAACGAACACAGGATGCATCTAGCGTTCTATGAGAAGAAATGATTTGTTTAAGGAGGGAAACAATGCTTGTTTAACGACTACCAAAGGTTTATGAAGAAAGGGTGCTAGAATTTCACATATTAGTGATACAGCAAATAAAAGATCACGTTTACGGTTGGACTTACAGGAAAAAAATACAGATCAAATTCTTGTATTCTTTCACGTGCCTAATAACACTACATTTAATCGAAAAGGGGTATCTTCCTTGTTAGTAAAAACTGCAGGAGTTGCAGCATTTCGCAGATTTTAAACGAAACGAAAGCTCCTTCGTGGTATGCGAAAGGTACATGCTTAGGGTACATGCGAAAGGTTGGATGTTGTCCAGTTTGTTAAAAAAGTGGCTCAAAATTGTGTGAAAGCGTTATCTAGGTGCTTTTGGACATAAAATTTCACTACTCTACTTGGACAGTTTCAATAGGTGATATAAAATACAAATGAACCGAAAAACATTGGTCTTGTTATTCCAGAAGTACTTGCATAACTTCCGCAACCATTGGACGTATAAATCAATAAACTGTTCAAAGACTTATCTCCGAATGTTTTGTAACCAACTGATATCAGCAGGGTTGCACAGTTTTACTAGAAGCGGAAAAATTCAGAAACCATCCACTGAGTTAAATTGCTTGAAGATTTTTCATGTATGAACTCTGACTGATAAAGCAATAATAGCAAAGAGCTTCAAGGAAAGGGAAATATCTGATGCTCTGGATGGCTCTAAAGACTATTATTACAGGTGAGAAGACCGAGTTAGGGGCGACGAAGGCAATGACGATGCTAGTGACTTACAAGCTGTATTAGAGGATGCAGACAGTAGTTCCATCAGCACTGAATGATTTGAGGCCTAAGGACTAGCAGCGGATGACAGTAAGAACAGGCGAAGTTCAAGTTGCAGAGAAACAGAAATGAAGCTATCTTATTAGTTATTGTAATGGTAATATTACTATGTATTCTTATTGGAATGTGGATTTCCTTTTGAAGAAATAATGTTCTGATAGTCACTAGTAGTTTATTCAAGACCCCTTTTTATTTGTTACGTTCTTACTGTAAACTACCGCATGATTTTCCTCTCTCTACTTTCGGACGATAAAATTAGTTAAAAAGGGGGGAATATACGACGAAATACAGTACATGTGCCATAAATTCTCACCCTATTTCGCATTTTTTAATTCTGTACTCAAAGTATAAGCAATTCTACATCTAAAGCAAAAACTCTCTTACTCTAATCAAATGTTAAAATTCGGTTAACTTAGAAAAGGAAAACGCATTGAAAACTACTACAAAGGCCGAAGACTATGCTTGTTATGTCACATTGTTGAGATGTAAAAGAAAAGGAAGTGTTTTTGTTGAAAAAGAAATGTTTGCCAAATAACAGTGTGTTGAGATGTAAAAGAAAAGAAAGGAAGTAATTTAAAGTATTCCTTCCCTGTAGGAGTGGCAAAGCGAAAGAGATTTTATAGACTGCAATATTTAAAATTTAAGCATAAGTGTTGTATATATTTGTGTGTTGTATATGTTTGTATGTTGTATATTTATTGTATATGTGTGTGTAATAATTCAGAGCACCAAATTAAGAATGTTAATTTTATGATGGCCAATTATCTTTTAAAGCGGCTATCATATTTTGTTATATCTTACACATATATATACACTGCGAAATCTAAAATATTTTTATTACTTACTTTATTGCCGTATTAAGTTTATTGCGATACACCAGAACTGAACCTCGGTTATGACTGTGTTCTCAAAACTGATACAAAGCATTTATAAAATTAATATATTTTCCAAATCTTGAAGTTATAAAAAATACACTAGATAATTAGACCATAAATTTCTTACATTTTAGATCACAGTTAGATATAACTCAGAATGCGTACATTGCAGAAAGACTTTTCTGTTTTTTCTGTTTTGTTGTTTGGAAATTTAATGAGCTTCAAGGCGTTTAAAGATACGAATGCAGGAGAAAAACTAAATATTACTGAGAAAATTTGACAAAGTATTAATAAACAGTTAGTAATAAAAGAAAGTACATCAGAATTATTTTTAGCCGCCCAGATAGGAAAAGGGTTGGTGACTCTGACAGCCGTACCGCGAAGAGCCCGAGTTCGAATTGCGGAGAAGGCAGGGATGTAATTTGTCCATCTCCGCCACAGAAGGCAGTGGTTGCGCACCTGTTAGGTACCTCTATAATAAATTTACCGCCGCTTCCAGCCCTAGTAGTGGCCAACGCCTATAAACGGTTAGCTCCCGTTATTTGGAGGGGGGCAATTAGAATACTTCTGTTTTCAAAAAGTTCACAGAAAATTATTATGGGGCATTTCTGCTTAGAGTGTAAAAGTTACCCTCTAGCAAACTTCGAAGTAACATCCCTCAGAACATATACATTTGTTTTAGTACTCCTGGCATTCCTATAAGCATCTGAGAAATACCAATTTTGTATCTGTCATAGACTGGCCCATCACAGAGTTTCGGATGTTTTAAATTACCTTAAAACAGTTATGCCGTTAAATATGTTGATAATAGGAAACAGCTAGGTAAGAAGATGCGAAATTTGGCAGTTATGGTGGCTTTGGTGTACAAATATCTGTTTTTGATCACAGAAACCAAAGTTTCTTTTCTCAAACGCCCTTTACTCAAAGTCTGACATCGCATCGAATGATCAAAAGACCTTTTAAGTTCGTTTGTATGGTAGCACAACTGTGATGCCCAAACCAGGAACTACTCAACCCATTTCCTCTATAAAAAGTACGCTGGCGTTCTCCAATAGATAGATTCAAATATTGCCAGTTTTAGGCGTGCAAACAGGAATTTGTTGATAACTAAATTATAAATATATTCAGATCTCTTTTTTTCGAATATTTGAACGAAATTAATTTTTTATAAAAACGTCATTAACTTGAAAAAAACGTATAAATTTGGAATTCAGTGAAATCCCCCTCCCTCTTCAGCTTTCCTTTTTTATATAATAGTATATCATAATATTCTTAACATATGGTTGTTGTTGTCGAGTCCGTATTCCAGAGCCTCAGGGAGGAAAAATTATTAAAATTTGTAATTTACCAACATTAACAATGTAAAATTTAATTTAACTTTTGTACTCAATGATATTCAGACTTAAAATGCAGTTTGTAATTGCGTTATTTTAGGTCTTTGTCTTCCTGGACAGTTTCAGTGCCGCAATCGTAAATGTTTGCCAAATAACAGCTCTTTATGCAATGGTGATGATGAATGTGGCGATGGCACGGATGAAGAAAATTGTGGTAGGTAATAATTCTATTTATAACTAACATTAATTATTTTGATTGTTTTAAAATTGTTTTATTTCGTACTAACATTTTAAAGCATATAAAATGAGTAGCATGTATGTACACATGACATTCTTTGCATTGATCGTATATGAGTTAATACTATAGAACGAACTGTTAAAGTAGTATACTTATCTTTTAGGTAATATATGTTTCCTCTTACATGAAAATAATTTTCTGGCTTTAAATGTTTTAGAAAATGTTTTTGCATATCATATTTTGAAAACAAAATATTAGAAAGTTGAAGTGTGGCAATCAGTCGTTTTAATATGCATTTATTGTACATTATTAAGATTTGAAATGAAAGTGTTCTTTAAAAAGGTTCTTTGAAAGGTTTCTTATACCTGTCGGAAATGAACATGGGAACTTTTGAAAATAAGTCGTAATATGAACAATTTCCTCTAATTCAAATAATTACATTTGTCAAGTGAAAAGTTTCAAAAATTACCTTGCGGAAGAACACATTATTTTGAATTTTAACCCGTCTTCAGCTCCTCATTTTGGTGAACTCTCAGAGTCTCGCATCAAGTAAATTAAACCTTAAAAGAATTGTTGGTACTCAGATTTTAACTTATGAAGAGTTCGTTAGTTCAATAACTCATGTGGAGTCCTGTTTAAATTCAAGACCTATTGTAGCTATCTCCAACGATCCTAATCGCATGGATTCTCTTACGCCTGGCCATTTCAGTATAGGTGTTACTTTGAATTTAATACTTGATTATGATCCAGCAGTTTCTAAAATTTCTCTTCCCGAGTAGTGGAGATTAATTCAAGTTCTTTCTGTAAATGTTGGTCATCAAATTATCTCTCGCAGTTACAGCAAGTCTAAATTGCGTAAAAGCTAAATCAAACTTAAAAATAATTTAGTGTTAATTAAAGACGAAAATCTGCCCCCTTGAAATGAAAACTTGGCAGAATTACTGAAATCTATAGAGGTGCCGATGTTTAAGACTTTCACTGCATTGCCCATATTTTATGACAATTGAACTCATAATTATTGGCATCTGAATTCTAATATTTACTTATATATTTAGTTTTTGTTAAATTTATTAGAATTATAGCATTTTTAAAACTTAATTTTTAATTTTTATCATTATTCATAGTTATAATGTACTCGTAATGTCGTATTTTTTATTATTAGTATACAAAATTTGTATGAACTCTTGTTTATCGCAGCGGAGGATGTTTGGTATTTAATATAAAAAATTTTTGAATGTTCTGGTATTACTAAGCGAGTCATTCTCAAGCGTTTGATGATAGTCACGTGATGATGAAAACAAAATAATGACTAATAATTCTCCATGTTGGCGTGTCAAATATAAGAAGTTTCTGTAAGTTTTAGGAGTACGCAATGAGTTTCTGTAATGCAGTGACGGATGAGACTGAAATATTAATTATAAAGATTTGTTAAAGAAATGTGTTTCTTTAATATGGAGCAGTTATATTTAGCACGGAAGTAAAATTAACAACCAAGGCATTCCAGCCATTTAGCTAGCCGGCTGCATGAGATCGCCGGGATATGAACAGGAATCGAACTACCCGTCAGAGGACAGAAAACATATAAGCTTCAGCTCTTGATCTAGAAATTTTTTACTTCCGTTTAAATCTCATACATTTATGGAATTTAGGTTTACTTTTTAATCAGTTATTTTATGTTAAACAATTTTCCTAGCTCTCTCATAACTATTTTTCTGCCAGAATGTAAATTTCCAGCTGGTGTGATATTCAAATGAGGTAGTTTGGCTTGGTTTGGTTTTATTAGATTACGGCAAAGCACTCGAGGGCTATCTGCCTTAAGGGAGGGATGCCTTCGTGGAGGACTTTCTAAGGGAAATTGGCTCGTATACACGTTACACATGGGGAAAACCACGAAAACGCCCATGCAGCCAGCCTGTTCGCGGGATTCGAACCTCGGACCGAACTACCATTGTTCAGCGACGTTACCGCTCAGCCGCTGGTGGGCCTCAAATGAGGTAGAAAGAACAAAGTATTTAGATGAAGGTTTTATATGGTACAATTAAAGCGTGTTCTGCCTGCTAAAGGCCACGGTGCTGATATGATTTCCTTGTGAATATTCTTCAGTTTGCGTTTTTCCCGATATTAGGCTTGTCACGCCGATGTTAGGTCAAAGACAGCTTGCGCGTTATTCTAAATGTGTAGCCGTTACTTTCTTAGTTAATCCACTATCTTTGAATTAAGCCAAAATTGTTGGCTTCTGTAAGCACGAGTGGTGTCGTGTATTTTGATTTTATTTATTTGATTTATTTTATTTATTTGATTTTATTTGATTTATTTAATTCGATTTATTTGATTATTATTTTTATATTATTTATATAAAATTTTTTTATTTCATTTTATTTTTATTTGATTCAAATAAAAGGATGCTTTACGCCCTTTCTCTGTCTCTGTGGTAATCACAAGCAAAAATTCGAATTTAGTCCTAAGAGTTCTTGTACATCTGATGTTACCCCAGAATACGAGATTCTATACACCTTTTACGCCTTTTATTCATGACGTGATCTATGTAAAATAATATGCATCTGGAACTGCCTAACCTCCTGCATACCTTGGTAATTTCCGTGAGCTCCATGAAGCTGATTTCTGGTAACTAAGATTACAGACCGCTCTGTCATGAAACCTCGGTATTCTGGAAACACTATAACCAAAGATATTCTCTAATTGTCATTAAGAAACAAAACTTTTGTTGAAACATCATATAATCTTACATATCTACTACAGATAGTTCTGAGAATTTATTGCTTTTGTAGTCTTTTTTGTTTTTTTAGTATATTAAATCGGATTTTAAAATTAGTTCCAACTGTGATGGTAAACTGATTATTGACTCATTTATCATGTTAAATTCGGATTCACACAATTAAGGTAAACAGATTCACCTTCATTGTTGTTTGCTTCGTGTCACGAGATGTTTAGCTGAAATTAAGCTGTTCTATGTCAACGTGAAGGACGAATTATTGTTTAGTAAATACACTTATAATACATTCTTGATGCTTAAAGCCGTGTGTAAATATGTGAAACTATCTTCTCATAACCTCGTTATATCCTACCTGATTTCACAATGGTCATTATTCTCAAAAATATTGCAGATTTACCATCAATTTCCTGCATAAACTGTCTGAGATACCTGCGTTGCCTCTTAAGTCTGAAATGCCTACGTTGCCTCTTAAGTCTGAGATGCCTACATTGCTTCTGAAATATAAGTTATGCGCTTTGAAATCTATAATGAATACAAAAAGTGGCATGATAATATGCAGTAGACTAGACAACAAACCGTCCAATATATATGCTTGTTAAATTTAATTTTTCATTCACAATTAAAGGCATGAAAATCTTTCTGCTAAATGCGTTTTTTCGTAATTTAAAAGAAATTGAGTCACGTATGATATTTTTCTTGAATGCGAGACAACAGACAAACAAAATTTCACAAACAGATGATATATCCGGATGTTTTAATCTGTAGTTTTAATCTAAATATATGTCTAAGTAATATCTGTCGAACAAAAACTGTAAATATGTTTTCATTTTTAAAACCTTTAAGTCCATAACATTTTGATATATTCAAGTTTTTCACATAATTGATTTCAAACATCTATTTCAAGATCTTTATTTTTTGCTTAAATAAAAGTAGAATTCTTTCTTATTTTACATCAGTGTTGAAATTAAAAAACAAAAGACATTTCCAAAAAATATATTTCATCATGAGGTTTTTTATAAATAAGAACAAACAGCGCATTCTAATTTTTCTTTATTTTTGTCAAGATAATATATTGATATGATATGTTTTATTTAAAACCTTTGCTTTCTCCATAAAACTCTTGTTAAATATAATGCCTTTGTAACTTTCTTCACACAGATTATGCAGCAGCAACTTTTGAAACATGCGGAACACCAGAAGTTCAACCAGTTATTGGCAAACATCCTCTGGATCGAATTGTGGGAGGACGTCAGGCTGTAAGAGGTAGCTGGCCGTGGCAAGTTGACATGCAGTATGCAGTCATCCTACCCAATGGCCATTTCTGCGGAGGAACATTACTAAATTCACAGTGGTTTGTGACAGCTGCTCATTGTTTCCAACAGTAAGAAAGCGATTACAACCTTGATAGTATAGTTATACAAAAAATAAAATGTTTAAAAAAGTACTGTTTATGTAAGGGGTGATAAAAAAGATTTCGTTGGGGGCTGTAAAGCTCGATAGGCGAATTTTATTTTGAAGAATCTGCAGTAGCCATTAAAATAACTGATTCATTTATTAGCCACATTATTGATGATCTCCTACAAGATGTCCTTTTTCTGCTACTTGCAAAATACTATAAAGCTATTTTATGTCATCGACAGATCAGACTTGCAGTTCTTTAAGTGACTTTTTCGATGAACTCTAATAAAATAATAGCAGAGAGAAATTGACCATAACAAAAAATTTGCAATCATGTAGATGATTATACAAAGACTGAATTTAACAAAATTGTGCTAATGACTCTGGTAGTGAGAGATAGAATTTTTTAATGCCTTATATGGCCATTCTCTTGTGATCATCTTATCTAGAACTCGAAATCTACAGCAATTTCAATTGCTTCCATAAAAATTTCTCCAAATGGTAGCCAATGTCGCCAAAATACACTCATGTCCATAAATTAAGGATAATGCAAAATCAGGCAAAGGAAGAGTTAGAAGCAAAACAAATTTGACTTATTTGTAAAGCTTATTTATTAAACAAAAGGTAAAGAGCAAAAAAAGATGCTATATGTTTGATATTATTAAAAAAATTAGCGATTTTTCCTCCCTGGAGCAAATTACAAAACAACCCTATTTACAAAAAAACCATTATTACATTGTTGGTATGATTGTTAATACATTGTATGTCTCCCAAACGATGCAATACAGTCCGTACAACGTATAGGCATGCTGAGTATCAAATTATCGATCTGATCTTGGGGGATATTACACCACTCAAAAAGCAATGCTCTCCGAAGTTCCGGTAGACATGTAGGAGGAGATTGACGGACTGTAACTCTTCGGTCCCACACGTGCTCTACTGGATTCAAGTCCGGTGAGAATGCTGGCCAGTCCATACAGCTGATATCCTCCGGTTGAAGGCATTCGCTTACGATGTTTGCATGGTGAGGACGGGCATTGTCATCCATAAACACAAATTGTGCGCCCATGGCGCCCGAAACAAACGTACATGTTGTTCCAGAATGACGTTCATATAGATTTGGCTTGTCATGGTTCCAATTTGAACATGCAGGTCAGTTCTGTAACCCAGAATAATTCCACCCCAAACGAGCACTCCTGCACCACCGTAACGATGTCATTCAATGATCTTTTCTTGGTGGTAACGGGTACCTGGAGCTCTCCATATGAAAGTCCGGCAAAAATCAGACTGCAAGCTAAACCTGGACTCGTCGGAAAACATCACACAAGCCCACTGTTGCGGTGTCCACATTGCATGCTCTCTACTCCAGGCTAACCGCAGGCGACAGTGAGTTGCAGTAAGTGGAACGCATCTGACAGGTCTACGAGCATATAGACCAATCTTTCCTAAGCGTCTGTACACGGTCTGTCTTGAAATTGTCGTACCAGTGACTGAAGAGAGCTGACGAGACAGGTCTGAGGCTTGCTCCGCCTGTTTCTTTTGGCAGTAACTGCCAAATACCGATCCTCATTCGGCGTTGTAACTCTGGGGCGACCTGTGCTGTAACGTCTACTCACATTACCATCATCTTGGAATCGTTGCCAAAGCCTGGAGATGACACTCTGGGCAATTCCAAGTTCGTCTGATACTTCCAGTTGGGTACGCCCACATTCCAGACGGCCGATAATTCTACTACGTAAATATCATCCAAATACGTCCTTTATGTCATAACTATTCGGTTATTGCACTGAAATGCTTATAAAGCGCCTGCGAACAATTTTACTTCTTTGCCTGTATTCCTTATATATCACTCTCTTACACTCTCGTCATTGTGACGTACCATCGGTGTCATGTGGTACTTCCTGAAATTTGCATATGATTCTTGAAGATGTGTGTAGTGGTTTTACAAGTGATATATATTTATTTTAGAGTTTGATTTCCGCGTGACTCCGAATTATCCTTAATTTATGGACATGAGTGTATAACCTGCTTATCTTCAGTACCAACAGGAGTTATTTGCATGTAAAAAAAACACTGTTTGTTGTAATTTCTTACTTTCAAACGTAACACAACTGAATGTGTATACAGTATAAGTGAATATTTATAATATTTTATGTATAATATATACATATTTAATACAGTTTTCATAAGTTATTTAATTTCATAGTTATTATTGTGATTTCTCAGTTCCTAAAAAAATATCACTAACTTTTCTCTTTATTTCAGACTTCGTTTTCCATATCAGATTAGAGTTCATTTAGGAAACCATCACAAATATAAACCTGATCCTTATGAGATAGTACGTTATGTGAAAGATTATTTCATTTATGGAGTTGCAAAAGAAGATGTAAGTTTAATTCAGCTTTCATTCTAGAATAGTAGTGTTATATTAGCTATCTCCAATATCTCCATAACTGCAATCTCAAAAAAAAATTAACACAACTAACTGGCGAATTAAAAATTTCTTAACGAACAGTATGAAGCCAGTATTTATGTTTTAAATGCTGCAATGACTATAGTATCTCATAAAAGTGATCGGATGTTATTAATTACTGAATGTAATGTCTAAAGTTTTAAATGCTTTACTATCAAACTATAAACATAAATTTTCTTAGAAAAAATTTTCATAATATACAAAAAAACGCAGAAGCTTCGAAACCTAAGGAATTGATTTTAGTATTAGTGATTTAGGTGGAAAAGGAATGTATCGGGAAATATGAAAGTTGAAGAGTTTGGGCATATCTGAGGTCAAATATGCAGAGTTTGTCACCTTAATCTCTCAATTAACATGCAGAATTTGACGGTATTTATCACGGTATTTATGGATAAAAAATAAACGATTATGCATCAGATATGATTAAAAATATGGCATTGGCTGACTTCTGGAAGATCTGTACAGATAATGCGCAAGCTGTTTTCGAGAGTACATAAATCAGAAGCAATTGACTTATAATATCACAGTAATATCACAGCTGAAAGGAGTATTTGTAAAAAAAAAAAAAAAATTAAGTACCTGTGATGTGAAACGACCACAAAGATGACGTGCTGAAATTTACGAATTAAAAACAGAGGCAGATTCGGGGAGAAAGAATTGGAATGTTTTTGTGCAATGTATAAGTGTAATGTATAGGAATGTGTTGTAATGTATAGTAATGTTTATGAAGAGCTTTAAAAAATACTCTGGATTCAAGCCTTAAACAATACTTATTTTGATAAGCTTAATCTGGAGGGGTTTTTTTTTTTTTTTTTTTTTTTTTTTTTTTTTTTTTTTTTTTTTTTCGGTAATGCTACTGGAGACTGATCATTACTTGTGCTTTACTTTAAAATTCCACTCATCAAAAGAACACAGTGATCCAGAGCAATGTTAGTAGAAGTAAAAGACAAACATGAAAGCATATATCATTGGGCAATACTTCATTAACTTGATTCAACATCCTTATATGAAAGCTCATATTACTGAAAAGAACCTACTACGGAAGGCTTTTCTAACTTTCCTGCCAAAGCTTCTTTTACTCCGTAAGACGTAGAAGAACGAATACAGCTGATAGTGCTGCCCATATTCTTTGAATTATGGGTTATCCAACCTAGGAAATTGAACGTCATTTCAGATTAAGATACTGTTTGCCAAAACTATGTTTTCCAAATTTTGTTTAGAATACCTTAATTAAACTTTTCGTATTTCTATGGTTGAATTTTGTTCTCTTTCTTCCCTAAAAGTTTAAATTTAATTTTGAACTTCCGCAATCAAATAGATTGTTCACTGATCGATGCTATTATCACAGCAAAATAATGTGCTTAATCCTGATACACTGTTATCTACACTATTCGAAATAGAGACTAATCTTCTGAATACTAAGGCTCCTCTAAGCCTTACTGAATACGTCACCAGTAAGATACGTCACCAGTTGATACGAATCAGTCATAATCAGCTTTGATGTTTGAACCCCATATCAAACGAGATACAGCTGAAATAAACCCTGATTCCCTGCGAATTTCCGGCACTATTCTTGCAAAAAACTGCTGTAAGAGAAACCTTCTCTTTCGGGATAATCATTAATATTCAGAGTTTGTCGGTTTGTGCTGAATGAGAAAACCCTCGGAACCAACAGTTGCAACGTGTGTGTGAATGAAACTAGAAACGTTGGGCAGATCGGTATTTTGCAGATATCCTGAGGATATGAATCGTTAAACCTCGCTTTTTCAGCATTAATGGTCTTTTTCCATGAACCCGCAGGCTGTAATTAACTAAACGACCAATAAAATATATTTTGAAAAATGAACGAAATCCGTAAATATAACGTAATGAAAGTTAGCTCATAACCGTAACAACTGATTTAAAAAAATATGTCGGTGCGTGTGGATGTGATCGAAGATAATGTTTTCGATGAGATATCAGAAATGAGAAATATGCGGCTTGAAGAAGTGGAATGGTCTAAATTAAAAGAAGCTCGAATGAAAGATGGTTTTTCTGACGGAAAATACCTAGGCGAAGAAACTACCCTGCAAAGTGGATTTGATCACGGTTATGCAGAGGGTTTCGAGCTTAGTTTCCCATTTTCAATTATTAAAGGTTTGCTTGTTGTTAATGAAATGCAGTTACCTGAAGAAGAGTCACAATTATTATCTCGTTCGCGAGATGTTAAAGCAGCGTTGGATGAATTTGACAAAAAGATCAACGATTTTAAAATCAGTCTTTTGCTGAGAAATGGATCAAAAGAAGGAAACTGTGATTTTCCTTCTGCTAGTGATGAAAATTCTAATGGCTTTCTTGTAACAGAATCGGTTCAAGCTTCACAAAAGTGTCTCAGTCATCCCATTGTTCCTGAGGATGAAGGAGAGTTCAGTAATGATCACTTAAATGATATAAAAGAAGAATTTCATTCATTAAAAGAAAAAGTATTATCTTTTATAAATGAATGTAAGCAACCTTTAATTTTGAATCAGATTTCATGTGGTAAGTAACGTTATGTACAACAAATTCACATATTCATTCAAAAAAAGAAATCTTTTTTTTTTTTTTTTTTTTTTTTTTTTTTTTTTTCATATTTTTATTAGCTTGAGGAAGAAGAAGGATTAATTCAACTGTTTTTTAAGTTCCTAATTATCAATATGCTTTAATGAAACTTTCGGGAAAACTTAGTGTATATAGTAAATATATCAATATCACAAGAAAATAAAACATACTTTGATTAGATTTGTGTATATATATATATATATACAGTTTTTCTGGAATTCAAATTGCGAGAATTTCTGTATTATCATTCAGAAATGCATTTGAACCATTGATTTTTCATTTTTAAACAGGGTATTATTAATAAATATTTAATTAATCAATAATTATTTATATTAAATAAGTAAAGGTTTATTTCTACCATCTTGGCTCAAAGAGTTTGAACCCAAATTAGATTGAATTGAAGAATTGACTGTTCTATCCTTCACAGTCATTATAAATACATATTTTGGTGGTTATTGGTATGCTTTCATTATATTAATGGCAACTTTTTTTGTATCTAAAAAAATTAGGTTTCTTGACAAGGTCCTGTGATGACAACAATACGAGAACCTAGGCACCGTACACTATCCTTATATTTCTTTTCTGGGATTTCAAAAAAAAATATTGCAGGTTTCAGGGATTATTCTGTACTAACGACTCTCAATTATCTGCAGGATAAATTAACTGAGACCAGTTTTTTGTTTGTCATGGAATGATGAAAAAAATATTGTCACAAACAGTCAGCATAAAATAAAGCTGTGTTCAAAAATACAGCAAAGAATGCACGAAATAATATAAGTGGCAGCTGAAAATATCATTGTGTTTGCTAGATTCTGTCTGAAATATTTCATAATCCAGAATATAAGTACAGTGCTAAAATATTTATTAAAGGTAAATTGTTCAATCATAAAAATTAATCATGTGTACAACCATTGATCATTTGTTTCACAGTAATTCTTATTGGAATATAAAAGTGATGTAAACAAAGCATTATCCTTTTCATTTTTGATCCCCCCGCAAATCAAATGTTGATTTAATCCCCATAACCAAATGAACTAATCATGCAAATTAAGCTGTTTGAAAGTGCAGGTAAATTGCTAATTATGCTTACTGTGATTTGTATTTTTTTTATTTGGAATATTAGTTTCCTTTTCTTTTAAAAAAAAACTGTTTTTAGATTATTCAGGACTTCGCACTTGCAAAAAATGCACCTGTAGCATGATTATTCATGATCATCGATATTGTCCTGTTATTACTGTGGTTAATTAAGAATTGATTGTGTTTGTTTTACATGAATTAAAAATAATGTACTTTAAATAGAAAATAAGTAAAATAAGCTTAGAATCCCTATTTCTTTTTTGAATTCTTTTTTTTTTTTAACAAACCAAATTTTTTTATGGGAGAAAGTGACCAGATAAGGTATTTTTCTCTTATCAGGACAGCTTCAGAAATAAATGTATGTATGCCTCTATGTGTTCTTGTATGCATGTATTTATGTATTATATGTGTATACAACACTCATATATGCTCATACATGCATTTCTTGATCCTTTCCTCCCGATAACAGAAGAGTACCCCTATATAATAAATATATTAAATAATACAGCCCTTTTTATTTTTTTAAGAAAAGCTTTTTTTTTATGTTTTTAATAACATAAAAAATGCAAAGCATCAATATATTATTTATAATTTTTGGTTTTTAATGAACTGATTACAAAACAAATTTTATGGCTCATTTTAATCACTTTAAAAAAGTATATAGTAAAAGTATATTCACGAATCCCCTTGGTGAAAATTAGTGATTTTTCGCGGTACATGGATACCGAGTTTGTGCAATTCTTTGACTTGTTACAAAATAACAAGTCAAAGAATTGCAAAAACTCGGTATCCATGTAAACATTGACCTATTTTCACTATTCACAGAAATAAAAAAATCACAGAATTGCACAAACTAGGCATTGCACACTCTCTTGACTTTATCCATGTTCATGTCGACCCATTTTGACTTAAAAAGCATTGGAGAATTGCACAAACTTGACATTGCTCTCTCTCTTGACTTTGTCCATGTACACACTGATATATTTTCACTTAAAAAGTCAAAGGAGCACCCAGTCCAGGATAAAAGTATATTTACAGAACATTCAAACTACTCAGGTTATCATAAATGAAACAAAAATTTCGTGATAATACGAGGGGTACCCTTCAGTCTACTCTAACCAAGTATGTATATTCTTAAATAATCTTCGGGAAAATAGAAATGAATGTGTATATAATTATTTCTGGTATTAATTTCTTTCGGTTAGTCTATACAGTAAAAATTCTTTAATCCGGACTCGTCGGAACTTCAGCGATTCCGGATTAGGGGTTTTTCCAGATTATAGATCAGCAATTTAAATCTGGTAAGATGGCATGCAGAAATTATAAAATTAAAAATATGAAACCATAATTTATGAAATAAAGAGCAATTATGATCTAAAGGGTATCAAAATTTACAAAAACAAAACAAAAAAGGCTTAATATTTGTTTGTTTATTTTATTAAACATTTCGGTTAATCTTTGGATTATGGTAACTTGGCAAAAATTTGGCGACCAACTCTGCTACAGCAACCCTCTATTTTTTTTTTTTTTCGCCGCCATTTTGTCTTCACGAAGTACAGACATGTTTCTTTTCTTTTTATTTACTGAACACTTTTTCCAACAATCTGCTATCCAAATTACACTTATGCTAGAAATTTTACTGCTTAATCATGACAAATATTAACTGCAAAATTGGGAAAAAGTGCACAATCGCAAACTCCTTGCGCGTTTATCAGAATAGCACATACACATAAACCATTTACACGTCGACTTATTTTTACTTAAAAAAACATCCCAGAATTGCACAAAAATGGCATTGCACACACTCTTAACTTTATCCATCTACACTGCTATTTTCTCATAAATTACAAAAATTTGCACGAAAATGCAAACAAATTCTGTGAATCTTTAAACTCAGTAAAAAGCACATATATGAAATTACCTCATCGCGAGAAAGTATATACCCTTTCCAAGGATGAACATTTCCACGTATAAAATAAATAAAATATCCAAAAACTTTTACCTCTAAATTATCTATTATATTATAAACATCACCAAAGAATTCATACCGCAAACATTACAAATGGTTACAAATACTTAGAGTCAAATATTTAAATTATTTCCATGCACGTTTACTTCCATGCACAACTGAAATGTATACCAAATTCCTACAAACATAAAATTCACAAAATAACTATCATTTAATTAAAATATCACTAAACCATGTACACGTCGTCTTATTTTTACTTAAAAAAAATCACAGAATTGCACAAAAATGGCATTGCGCACACTCTTCACTATATCCATGTACACTGCTTTTTTCTCACAAATTAGAAAAATTTTACGAAAATGCATGAAAATTTTGTGAATCTTTAAATCCGGTAAAAAGAACATATATGAAATTACCTGATCGTGAAAAAGTATATACCCTTTCCAAAGGTGAACATTTCCACGTATAAAATAAATAAAATATCCAAAAACTTTTACCTCTAAATTATCTATTATATTATAAACGTCACCAACGAATTCATACCTCAAACATTACAAATGGTTACAAATACTTAGTGTCAAATATTTAAATTATTTCCATGCACGTTTACTTCCACTGAAACGTATACCAAATTCCTACAAACATATAATTCACAAAATAACTATCATTTAATTAAAATATAATTAAATTTAAAAACACTACTTAAAGTATAAATAAGCACATACATTAAATTAATAAAAATTAGCTTACAATCCTAATTACTTTAAATTTAATCATTGCTAATAACAATTTTCCAATAATACCATATTACTTTATTTACTCCTTACATTTAGAACAATGCATAAAAATAATATCCTCAAATAATTAAAAATACTAACTTACCTAATCTTCTTCAGAATCTTGATTACGTTGCGGATAAACTTTTATTATTTCCTCCGCTAAATAAAAAGCAATCGTATGTGCGCCTGTTTCAGAATCTTTAAAATCATACTTATGGTTCACAGCAAGATGTTGAAAACCTTCATCCTCCAAACAGACATATGACTTCCAGCAATCAGATATTGTTGTACCAGGTAGAATATTACTGCTTAATAAAACTTAGTAAGCAATCTTTACTTCTATCTCGCACAACCTTAAAAAAACACTTATTACTACCCCTTTCAATCCCACTAAATATTCATTTCGAATTCACTTTAGATAGGGCCATGGGATCCAAAAATTAACCAACACTGTTTCACACAACGCAGAATGAAGCTAAATACAAAATTTCCAGATTTCCCCCCTTTTCCGATTAAAGAACTGTAATTTGCCCATTAATGTCACGTGACATATCTCATGATCTCTCATTTCCCTCACACAAAATAATGCGTAATCGGAACTGAGTACTTCTAACATTATTCCCAAAGTCCTAGGTAGTAACCTTTGTTGCCAAACTACCTGTTACCATATTCCAAAGATTAGCCAACATTTCTTTCAATGTAGGTTGTTTAAGTTGCATCGTTTTATGTGCTAATATTTTCTCTTTAATTTTATAAACAGACATAATTTCTTGTTCATTTACAAAGTTCCACTGTTCAAGTCCTGTAATTGCTGTACCGAGAATACCGACTAACTTGTCAATCGAAATTTTTTCGTTTTCACTAACCTCTCTATCACTTTCTTCATGCCTTTCTCCATTTTTTGCAGCAATTCCACTTTCTGTTTGATGGACATCGAAACATGCTTTCGCTTTGTAGATCCAGAATCTGAAATTCTTTTTGACATAATCGAAAGTTCAAGCTTACTTTTATAAAATTGCTCTAACAGTCTTCAAAAAATAATAAGCCAGATCCAATTAGAAGATTAAGAAACAACGCAATCTGCAGCATTAACTGAAATAGTAGCTTAGCTTATACCGTCCGTTATACATTAAACGTATAATGCCCATGCGCAGAAAGTTTGTAGCTTTGAGATTTGAATTAGGGACGTCTGAATTAAAGACTTTTGACTGTATATCTTTTCTGTTTTACTTCATACATTTATAGTTGATAGTATTTTTGTTATTATTCTAATGTTAAATCTTTATGTTTCTGTATTTTGCATTTTTAGTATTTATTAAAATGGTGACAAGAGGACAAAGTAATGAGTTTGTGTTGGTAAAAAATAAACAAATAAAATGTAATTCTTTAATGAAAATACCTTTTGTGTCATTATTATATAAATGTAATTCTGATTAGTTCAACTTCCATTTTTTAGTTTTTGAGAGATGCGGAATTCAGCATGTCACACGACTTAGCACTTGCAAAACTAAATGCACCTGTAGCTCCAAATCCTCATGTTCAACCAGCATGCTTGCCTCAGCAAAATGAGGAACTAAGGATTGGAGAAAAATGTTGGTCGACTGGATGGGGCTTAACAAGAGGTAATAAGCATGTAATGAAGTCAATTTATTGCTGTTATCTTCATTTAATAGGGATAAAGATTTAACAAAATTTCTATACTGTAATTTATTATTATATTTTCTGTTCACATTTTTAATTGTGTCCAGAATTCAGGTTCTTTATGACTAAAATAAATTGAAGCATTAAAGTTGTTAATTTTTATTGCATATGTGATTATCCCTCTGAGCGCTATGGCTGGCCGTATCAGGTCATGAGATTTTTTGGCGCTTGGTATATATATATTAGCTTACAGGTTATGATATTTTGCTTTCTTTCTTTAATAATATAAGTGTCACCTTAATAAATGTAAGTTTATGAAAATAGAGCCTAAAGTATGTTAATATACAAATGTAACTAATAAAGGTTTTTTGAATACAAGTCTCCATGACAGATCCAAAAACCCAAGCTGCTCAGAAGGTTAAATGATGTGAAGCAAAAATGCAGTATGTATCAAAGACGATATTTCAGTTATATGATGAATATTTTTAGTAAGATTTATAAGAACATAGTGTACAAGAATTTTTTGCCCGGTACCTATTAATTTTTTTATTGCTTTCACTAAATTTATTGATACGTTATTTTGATGCTAGAAAACATGCCACTTTCCCATTAAAGCCATACATTGCATTTTTTTATTTATTTCTCTGTTTGGTTTTACCTCGTTACTAGACAAAAGGCTGCAATCAGTGGTACTCTTCCGTTATCAGGGGACTGGATTCAGAAATGTAGGTGTGTATGGATGTATATGTTCATGTGTGGTATATATATGTTCTAGTATGGTATAGGTGTACGTACATACTAAAATCTGTGTATACAGACACACATATACATATGACACATATTTCTTAATTCGGTCCCGATAACAGAAGAGTACCCAATCAGAAACGACAGCAAGGAATACTCTTTAATTTCATGACAAAATCTTTCTAAAATCCATTATGAAGGTTTTTTTTTTTTATATATATAAGTTTTTATTAATAGCCACAGTTTAGTTGCTTTTATCAATTTTAACAGTGGGATGAAATAACAAGGAATTGGCACATACCTTTCTTATAGAAATATTCCAATCAATTGTATTGTGATTCATATGAAGCAAGCTTTGATTTTAAATACTCGATATGTTTTAATTCAGTATACCACATGTAAATTAATTGTATAGCTGTAACGAAAAAGCATGTGTGATCCAACAAACCACATCTGTGTTCAGATGCCTTCTTTTCCTGTGATTATGTTCAAATTAATTTGATTGTTATATGACAGTAGTCAGTTATTTTGAGTCGCAATTAGTTGAAATGTAAATATTCAGTATTTGCATATTAGTCAAAGTTACCAAATTGTTAGATTGTGCCAAACTTTGGCAACTGTAGGCATGACTTTTTCATTTTAAGAAGCAGTGACACCATCTTTGTAGACAGGTATCTTTTTCTCTAATTTCCTAGGGTTTTTACATGCAAGTTATATTTTTTGTCTTGAATTCAATTTTAAAATATGCATTTATGGGCTTCTGCAAGGGAAGAATTTAGAGATCTATCTCTAGGATTCACTGTTTTACTGCAGAATTGCTATAATAAAGAAATTTCCATCATAACAAAAGAAATAAAAACCACTGTGTAAATAGCTGTGTTGATTCATTTTACTTAATTACAACATGAAATATATATGATAAAATGTAAGAGTGTCTCCTTCTTGAATATTAAATTCTTTGTTTTCTTTCGTTAAAATTCGCCCAGCTGTCCCAGCATGGTTGTGCTAATGCATAAGTACTTAATACTCATTCTTAAGAAAGAATTTTTCAAATCTCTTGAAAAAAGTAAGAAATACTGAAGTTATTGAAAATATTGAATCTGTAATCAGGGTAGGCATTTTACTGATGATTTTCTGCTCCAAATGAAAGGGTAAACAGGAGTGATCGTACAAGATTTGATTTTTGTATAATGTCTTTCAGGAGCATTTTAGCAAGTCTAAAACATTGAATATGTTTTACATATAAATATATTTTCTTTGTCACAAAAATGAAAGCTAATGATTTATGCATTTTAGGGTCTTCATCAGAACATGCTCTGAAACAGGCTGAACATCCTATTTTGAATGAAAAAAAGTGTTATAATGATTTTCAAGAATTTGAAAATAAAACTATGATTTGTGCTGGACGCTTGGATCCTCTTCATGGTTTATGTCATGTAAGCCATCATTTATATAAAATTTTGTTTAAATATCTGTAGTTAAGTTTGTGATGTATGTAATATTTTAACAGTAATCAATGTGTGTATGTATGTATATATGCAAGATTAAAAAATATGAAAGTATACTTCTAAATTTAATTCACTGTAACCTATTTTATTTTTTATTTCATTTGGGAACTTCATCTATCTGTCTTTAAAATAGTGCTGTAAGTCTAAACTGTGTCATTCAAATTAATCATGTGATCTTACGTAACCCTTAATGCAGATGCCTCTTGACCAATCAATCACCAAATTGTAAAACAAAACTAGAAACTGAAACTTTGACTCCCTCCCTTCTTTCTACGAACTGATGCGTCATTTTTGCTTGTGCTTTCCTCTTGGCCAGATGCCTTTCTCCAATCATGTGTGTTCTGTTATATTTGCTTCTATGTCAATAATATCAAAATTGTAAATGTTCTTTAATAGGCACAAGTACAAGTAAAGTGCCAAGTGAATTGTTGCCACAAAATGGCTATAAATAAATAAAAGGAGTTTAATCCGGCTAGACTGCTTCTTCTTCAAAAATGGATGGACGCTTTAAGCATCAAGTATCTACACCATCAGCATTTACATCTCAGTGTTCTTATTTCAGTGCTTCCAAAATTATTCTGTCATTACATTCTTCAGCAAGTTCTAATTATGAAGAAATCTACACGGGTTTCTTAAGCTATGTTCACAGTGAATCATGGGAAAAGTCCTGTTTCACCGAAGATTTTAATGCAAGTTTGTGCTGCATTCTCAATCAATCATTCATGTCATGTCATTGAACCACGGTTTATATATATATATATATATATATATACACCATAATTTCCAAAAGAAAGGCTGCATCAGCGTAAATGGCGCACTCAAGAAAAATGGCGGGGGAGAGAGAAATTAAAATTACACAGGAACGCCGCAATAGATTAAATTGTGCGTGACACCATCGTGGGCCGTATAGATGCAAAATCTCAACCTAACACCTGATATATGACGTATCAGTTAAGGAAAATGCGTGAAATGAAACCATAACTCAAAAATAAATTAAAGGTAAGATATGTTGAAAATATATTTACGATCACGTATATACTTATATTTACCCACTAAAGAAGTCCATATTTGTAATACTCAGACTATATTATAAAAAATGTTGCAATAATGAAATATTAAATTTGGATGACAAAAGGAAATTTTAAATTTTACTTACCAAAGGAATTACAGCAAACTATACGTAATATGAAGCCATCAAAATCTGATTCTTCACTATCTGAATTAAAAAGATTTAGTAAATCCTGATCTTAGTCTTCCAGATCGTCACATTCTTCCTCTTGGTTTGCAGTCTCTTTATCTAAGATATAATTTCAGCTTCTTTGAACCCTGCTATTATTGACGATGTTTTTGCCGATTTCCACGCACTTCCTACCCACTTTGCAACTTCTTCATAAGATGCTCTACACATTTTACCGCTTTTGGTGTACGTATGCAATCCTTCACTCATCCAACACTCCCACCGCTTTCGGACCACTAAATCCTGTACTAGACTCATTATGGGCTTCAGGCCTTCTGCATAATACTGGAAGGTAGCATTTTCACGACCAGTCAGACTTCCAAAGTCTGTAACAATCCAGTGGGGGACCAAGATACTCAGCAAAAGGTATTTGTGTCATCTCCAAGGTGGTTTTTGGGTAGACTACATTGCTTGATATCGGGGTTCTCATTTGAGACTCCAGTTCGTGTAATTGCATTTAATCAGAGGAACAGATAGTTTGTTTCTGTTGTATGTATATAACTCGCATAACTCAAAAACGATTAGCCGTAGAACATTGAAATTTTATATATGGGACTGCTATATCTAGTTGTGCACCTTGATTTTTTATTTCAATCAGCAGTACCAAACACATAAGTATATATGTACACCTTGCAAAAAAAAAAAAAAAAATAGGAGAGTTGTGTATCTCCTCTTCTACTGGACTGATTGTCGATATTTAACTTGCATTTTTTATGTCTATAAAGTGTGACTTAGGATATATATCACATTTATGTATAGCATTATTCTAGCATAAATATTTTACACAAAATCGGACTTTTTCTGAAATAACATTCCATATTTTGATTCTACAACTCAAATTATGCCTAGATGTTAAATTTTGTAATTTTTGGTGAGAAATTTATGGAGAAATTTTAAAATTTATCTTGCCACATTTTTTCAGTTGCATCAAAAATAATTCACTTGGCGAAATTCTTTATTTATAATAACCTATTTTACTTTCCCTTTTCTCATTGTAAATGAGTAGGAAAAAAGTGTATCATTCGGTTTTTTTTTTTTTTTTTTTTTTTTTTTTTTTTTTTTTTTTCCCAAATAATTTTTACAAAGTGAATAACCCTTAATTGGCATTATTATCACTTGTAACGAATATGCCAAACTTCTGAATGTAAATTCACGTATGCCTTAGGAAATTTTGAATAAAAAACTCTAATTTTTTGCAGGTATGCTTAGAAATACATCTACTTTAAGTTGATGGTTAAAATTTTATAGATTATAATTCAAAATGTGTTTCGGAAAATTTATAAAAATTATTTAACAATACAAATTTAGAAAATAAAGTGATAAAAAATTCACAAAATTTATTTGGAAAACCTAAATTTTGAAATGTGAAAGGAAGAATGAAATGTAAATTTAAAAAAAGAGAGAGATTAATAAATATATACCAAATTTAATTAACGTGAGGAGCAAAAATTTTGAAAGCAAAACTACTCGTGCAATTTTTACAAAACTAGGTACTTTGCAATTTGAGTCGTAGAATTTAAATATAGAAAAAACTTACGTTATTTCAGAAAAATTCCGTTTTTGTGTCAAAATGCCTATATTGGAACAATGCTATGTATAAGTCTAATATATATCCTACGTCATGCTTTTGAGACATGGAAAATGCAAGTTAAATTCGACAATTAGTCCAGTCGAACGGGAGATTATAGAACTGTTCCCCCCTCTTTTTTTTGTTTGCGTGCAAGCATTACCCAACATAAAGTTCTTACACATTATTTTCGAAATTGTTGGGGGTCATAGTCATATACTTCCAATTACTAAAGTGTATTAAATGGTGAAAATAGTAATTTTCAAAAGTATTAAATCTAACTTTTGGCACTATGTCTTGTATATTTTTTCCTTCCTATTAGGAAAAGTTTTATACTTAACTATGAAAAAATAAAATTATAAGAAGTTTGACCCATATAGCAAAAATTGACCATGATATTTAATTTCAAAATTTGCAATTTTTGTTGTTATTTTCAACTTGCTTAGAGTGACCGGTTAATTAGGTCAGAATAATTCAAGGAAATAAGTGTAAATGAAGTGCAGCAAAAAATGTGTATAATTTAATAGGTCACGTAGTGTCCACATCATAATTTTTATTGAACTTATGCATCTGTTACTTGTTATCATTTGTATTATATTGTATGTGAAATTTATTTCTTCAGTCATTTGCTTTTTGTCCTCTAGGGAGATAGTGGAGGCCCTCTTGTGTGCCAGAAGAGTGGACATTGGTATGTCTATGGTGCTACAAGTTTTATAACAAGGGTGAATTATATTGATGGTTTATGTGGTATGGCTGACACACCAGCTGTTTTTAATAAAGTTTCAGCTAAAATAGACTGGATAGAAGATACTATGCAAGCAAATACCTAGGAAATTAATTGTATTCTTAAAATATTGAGATATTCAGTAGTGTTTTTAAAGATAATGATTTTTTGAAAAAGGAATCTAATTTCACCATGCTGCTCAGTCCTGTTGTAAAGAGTCTTTAAGCATAAAATAAAAAATTTTCATTTGATTCCCAAGTATGAATATTGAAATTTGTTTTTATGTTAATAATCAGTGAAATACATCTAATTTGATTATTTTGGAGAAAAGTGTTCTGTTTTTAAAAATATGAAAGAAGAGTTCATAGTTTTATTTGAAAATTGAGTTTATTGCTTTTAGTCCTTAGAATTTCTTTTCAAGGTAAAAGAATTTTGTATTATGCTATTCAGGTTAATTATTTACATCAGTGGAGGTCAACACTACGTTTTCAGTAATATTGTCAGTAGACTTTCTCATGTGCATGCATGCAGTTGTATCTATAAAGTTTCAATACTGAACTTAATCAGTTAGTCCCTATTAGTCCTTTAATCAGTTAGTCTTCAGAAAACAGGAGCTTCAAGAACTCATTCTTCCAGCAGCACTAATTATGTGAGAAATAATTCCAAACCTTGTAAAATTTAAATGTAAACTTCAGAATGATCTAAAAATCGAAGGCAAATTGTCAGTCGTGTACATATAATGAAAAATTCATTTGCCAGAAAAGTTTTGTATTTAAAAGCTTTAAACAGCGGCCATGTTGTTAAGCCTTGGGTTAGTCGAAAGTTTTCACAAGAAAATTCATCTTGGTGAGGAAAACATGTTATACAAACAACTAATAGACCCAGCTTTCAGAATTCATCAGATTAGGCTAGAAGAGACTAGTCATGTAACGGACTTTTGTTGCCTCATCACAAAATGCAAATTGTTATAACACTGTCTTTAAATTGTTGATTGAAAAGAAAAAGTTAGCATTTATTAATCATTTCCTTGTTTGCCAGATTTGGTGTCATGCACTCTGTTTTCTGTTCTATAACCCTTACAGGGTTGCTGGTTTTGCTTAGAAAAACCGCATTTTCGACATTTTTTTAATTAAAAGAATTCGGTTTCATTTTCTCAAAACAGCTGCTAAAATTTAGAGCTGATAATAGATGGCACCAAACCTTTCTGGGCAGCCATTAATTGATCCAAATCATTCAAACATAGGTTGTTTCATAGACGATTATTTTTCGATTATTTTAAAAATAAAAAACCCCAAAATTTGTAAATGTTCCACAATATATTTTATAAGCAGGCACCAGTGTTTGTTGAAATGTGCTTAGTTCACACACACACACACACACAAAAAAAGCATTGGAACCCTTTTAATTTTGAATGTTTTCATCGCAGTTTCAGTATGAAACCACCACCCCACTGATACGTTGAAGGAAGGATCAGATGGCACAGTTCTGAGATTTTTCCCAGCTGTGCTTATTGTTTTCAGATCTCTGCTGCAAACAGTTTTTTTTTGCCTTATCTTCGTTTGAGTGGGTTCAAAGATTAGGATATATGGGGTTTTGAAAGAGGGGAAACATTTCTTATTTTGTACAGACTCGGAGCACACTGAAGAATACTCACAGTTGTGTTTTTATTCTGTTTCTCTTAGCGGTTGCTTTTCTCATGCTTGTAGTTCATAGTAAAATATTTGTATACATCTAAATTTATTTTTACATATAATTTTCTTAGTTTTTAACAGAATTATGCAAAATATTTCATCGTTTTATGTAAATAATGTAATTATTTTCAAAAATGCCCCTGTCTTGGGCTGAGCATTCCTGAGGCTTTGGCTTTGTCAGAGGAGCTCATTTCAGATGTTGTGTCCATGATCACAGATAGGACTATTTTGTCTTTCTTTTCTGTTGATTTTATGGAAAATGTAGTTTTTCAAACGAATCTTTATGCTACACAATCACAAAAGAATTTCAATAGGCTTATGGGTCCGTTACATTTCTTTCTATAAATATTCTAATGGGAATGAAGAAGCTTCCCAGTTACCGTATTTTTTGGTCATCAGAGAGAGCTTCTTCATGATAATTGTGTTTCAAAGCAAATGCCAGTGAAGAGTTTGTCGCGAATGCTGTCACATTTTCATTTGAATAAATGACAACAGTTTGCAGCCACATAGAGGTGATGAAAATTTTGACAAATTGTATAAGGTCCAGCCATTATTATCCTATTTGTCTGAGAGGTTTGAAAGTGTTTTTAGGCCAAGAAAATGTCAATCTGTCAATGATCAGATTTAAAAGCAGAAGCTCACTGAAGTAGTACATGCCAAAAAAGGCCTATAAAATGGAGTTACAAGGTATGGATGAAGAGTGACAAAAGTGGGTTTGCATGCCAGTTCCAGATATATATTAGCAAACTGAAGGAAGTGGAAAGAATTTTAGGAGAAAGAGTGGTGAAAACTCTCACAAAAACTTTATGGAAGACACCATAGACTTTATATGGACAATTTTTCCTATGATTTATTTAGATTTTTAGACAATCAAAATATATATTGTTCTGGGACTGTCAATTTTAACAGAAAAAAATCTTTCCAAAACTCTGACAGAGGATAAAAAATAGAAATGCAGGGAGTTTGATTGGACAGTCTGCAATAAAGATATAGTTTGTGTAAAATGGAAAAATAAAAGATGTGTGGCAATGCTCTCAACTCGGGAAAATCCTACAGAATATGTTTTTGTTAAAAGAACTGAGAAAGATGGAAAAAAGATCATAGTGCCGGGCCCAAAAGTTGTTCCCGATTACAACAAAAATGTTGGCTTCATGCATCATTTCGATCATCTCAAAAGCCTATATGAGATAGATAGAAAGAGCAAGAAGTGTTGCCACCACATGTTCTTTCATTTTTTAGGTGTTGCTATTGTAAATTTCTTCGTTATGTACAAACTGCATCCCAGTTCTGAAAGTGACTTGAAAGTGATGAAGAATTTTAGACTAGATATTGTCAAATCCTTGATGTTATTGGACAGTGCAGGTGAACTCAAAAAGCTTGTGTTCAAAAGCTCGACTCCTAAGACTAAAAAATCACAAGCAGGGTGCATCCGAAGAAAAGCGCCTTCAAAATGTTGAGCACATACCAAAACAATGCAAGTCACAAAGATGTGCATATTGCAGTACCACCGAGAAACCCCACAGAACTCGGTGGATGTGTTAAACCTGTAATGTTGGTTTGTGTGTTTTTCAAAAAGACATCACATATTGAAAATTTAACAAAAAATTATTTTATTTGTTACTTTATTAGTTACTTCATTAGATTTCATTTGATTAGTTGCTTCGTTACTTTTTGCTCATGTTTTTGTTTTCTGTTTTAATTTTTTTTATTTATAATTAAAAATGCATGTTTAAACAAACATTACTTATTTCATTATTTGTTCAGTATTTTACTAGTGTAACCTGCAATTGGGGTTACTTTCAGATACTTTCCAGCAAAGTAAAAATTATGAACAAATGTTTAATCTTAAATGCTCTAGACAGGCGCTGGTTTCCAGGTAAAACCAGTCCCTTTTCCATAAAGGGGGATGAAAAAAGTTCTTTTAAACTCATGTATGTTGTCTATAGCAGGGGTGGCCAACAAGTCGATCGCAAGGCTGATTTTGGTCGATCGCCGATTACTCACAATGACTGGAGTGGAATTCCGTCTACAATAGACTTTGAAACGATTGTAGAAAACAAAATCTGTTAACAATAATATAAGGCATTGTGGAAATTTCCCAAGGATATAAATTCCTAGAAATTTGACAGCCTAGTATTTTGACACTTTGACTTATGTTTTATACTTGTCGCCAGATGCGATGTGTGAACGCAACTGTTAGGGCTCGCCTCATCGAAGAACACAGTCAGTCAGCTTGAATATTTAGTAGTGTCATACTGTAGCTTCTTTTCTTTTTTATTAACAGTATTATTACTAATCAATATTATTTATCCTCAGTGACCACTTTGGGTTTCTTTTTTTTTTTTTTTTTTTTTATTTTGAAATGTAAATACCTTTTCTTTGTTTTAAATCAAATTGCTTTTCATACATATCTATTTACTTGATAAGTGAGCATTCTCGGCAAAAGATCTCTAAATTGTGATTATTACACTGACAGAAAAAGGGGACAGTATCACAAAATATATAGTATAACAATAATTTTTTATTTGAAGAAAGTGGAAATTTATTTTCTTCCTGAGCCTATATCTCGAAAACTTATAAATGATTTTAAAAAAATAAAAATAGTTTTGAACATATATTTTATTTATCTACCCTCACTGGAATGCACCTTATACTGAACCACAGTGTATAAACATTGTATGTATTTTACACCCTTCTGCCCCCTTAGACTACATCTATGACAAGTCGATTGCAACACACTTTTAAGATAAAAAGTAGATCTTACATGCAAAAAAGGTTGGCCACCCTTGGTTTATAGGACCATTGCATGGTATTCAGCTTACTTTTTCATAACTTTTAATAAAATCATAGCATTGCAACCATGAAAGGGTTAAAACGAAATCTCATGTTAAATATACTGTTTTGAGAGTTTTTTTTTTTTTTTTTTTTTTTTTTTTTTTTTTAATTTGAAGAAAGGTGGAAATTTATTTTCTTCCTGAGCCTGTATCTCGAAAACTTAATAAATGATTTTAAAAAACAAAAAATAGTTTTGAACATATATTTTATTTATCTACCCTCGCTGGAATGCACCTTATACTGAACCACAGTGTATAAACATTGTATGTATTTTACACCCTTCTGCCCCCTTAGACTACATCTATGACAACAAGTCGATTGCAACACACTTTTAAGATAAAAAGTAGATCTTACATACAAAAAAGGTTGGCCACCCTTGAAAGGGTTAAAACGAAATCTTATGTTAAATATACTGCTTTGAGAGTTTTTTTTTTTTTTTTTTTTTTTTTTTTTTTTTTTTTTTTTTAAATTTGAAGAAATGTGGATTGGAACAGCATTCCAACAGTGGGCTTTTCTATCAAAAAAAGTATGAAAATACACACTGTCTAGACTAGAAACATTGTCTATGCAGGGCCATAGACCTACATGGCTAATAAAGGTTTCTGATAATTAAAAATCAACTTTGCTCTGCTGGTTGTTTCACATGAATGGCATTAAAGATTTTGAGATGTTACTTTCTAAGTTTAAAATTTAGGGCTAGAAATACATAAAACAGGATATACACAGATTGGT